GCTTCCCCCCCCCCCACCCGCCCGCCCCGCGCCCGCCATGGCTCCGGCCCGGCCGCTCTCGTTGCTGTGGAGACACCAAGCAAGATGGCGGCTCCGGCTCGGCCGTGCTCGTTGCTATGGTGATCGTAAACAAGATGGCGCCCCCGGACTGCTCTTCCGGCGGGTTACTATGGAGACGCCAAACAAGATGGCGGCCCTCCCCCAGTGGCCGACTTCAGAGTCGATTCCTCTCCAGTTGAGAGCCCGCCATCCCGGCTGCCCTGAGCTTTCCCCTCCTTTCGCCTCAATGGCTTCGTGTGGGCTCTCAGCCCACACACCTGTCTTCCACAGGGTTGGCTGTCCACCATGTCCCCCTCATCCCTCTGCAAGGCTTGTGCTCTCTCCCCCTGTCCCGCATCTCTGAGCTGGCACTGCCTTCCCCTCCTGGCCAAGGGGCAGGGAGCGCGTTCAGCAGTCTCCCCTGCAGTTTGGGTTCAGACCCTCGACAGCTCAGCTCCCACCTCTCTTACCCGGCTTCCATCCACACCCCGATGGCCCCGCTGCCCTCCTGCCCCAGAGCCACGCTCACGTCCGCACCAGCGCGGCGGGCAGGTGTCTGTGAAACACAAGAGCTGGCGCTGAGGGTCCCCGTCTGTTCTACACCTGATTTGGGCACTTTGGGGTCTGCTCCCCTGGTCTTGATGTCCGCGAGTGACTGGAGCAGGTTTTTGCTTCACGTCATCAAAAAAAGGACCGGGGTCCCGTGCCGAGAGGCCACTCTCCGCCATGCACCAAGTTTGCGCTGCCAGGCCCTGACTCGCCTTCCACAGACATTTCAAATGACCGTGTCCTTGTTCTTCTCACCCTGCCTGCGCTATCCACAAAGAGATGATTTACTGCCATCGGTAAATCACACCTCGCAAATCTTCTCTAGACCTTTCCTGCCCAAAGAAAAACCCTAGCCCACATTTCCAGTATCTCCTGTAGATAACCAGTTATCCGCTCAGCTCAATGCGGTGAAAGATAAGGTTCTCCCCAGCTTTAACTTTTTTCTGTAAAAGATATTTCCTGTTTGATATAAGTGCTTCCGGTTCCTCCCGTTCCCTTCTTTTATTACGCTTTGCCAATTAATCTTCACTGTGACTACACTTTATCTAAACCAACACCAGTATCTTTTCCCGTAAGAGTTTATTTGTGTACAAAATACACCATTTTTGGCTTTGACATTTATTATAAACAGTCTGTAACACATCATAAAATCAATCCCTCTAAAACACCTGCTACAGTTGTCTTCACAAAGGCTCGCTCCCTTTTTGCAGCCTTGCAGAAACTCAGAGACCCTGAAGCTTGCTGAAAATACCAAAGAAAAACAATAATTAGGGTTTTTTTAAGAGACAGTTCACAATACTGTTCTATTTCTTGATTTATGAATGACCTGATAATGCTTTAAACTATTTAAAGACCTAAAGCATCTCACAGTGTGGTATTTTCTATATTCGAGTAAAGGTTACAACAGGTCGATCAGTTCCCTTGGGAGGGTGGGGGGTTTGAGAAAAAGCTTCTGCAACAGGGCAGGAAACTGAATCGGACAAGATAAGATTGCGCTTTTCCCATTATACCATCGTCATTTCCAACAGGCAAATTCTCATCACAGTTGTAAGCTCTTTGGTATTTTTTTAATACTTTTTGGTGTTGCAGTCGGCCTTTTTTCCAGTCACTGGAAGACCACAGTTGGAATGAGTAAGCACAGATTTAAAATACACAAAAGCAAAGCATGGAAGCGGCTTCTGGGTTTGATGATGATCACAGAATTTATTGTTCCTAAGTGTAATTAACCTATATAGCAAGCATCATCTCCAGAAATTAATCTCTTTCCCGACTGGGTCTCAGTTACTGAAAATGATAACGTACAAGCTATCTTTCCGTTTACTTTTGGGTCATGCTTCTCATCCTTGTTATTTGTCCAATTTCTAAATTTATTATTTTAGTTCCAGGCATTTGGATTTCTTACACTGCGTAAGTATGAAGTATAAGTCTACGTTAACTGCTAGAACATTGACATTCACTCTGTTCATATAATTGACTTCCTGTGTTCCTCCTGATAATTGGGAAGTCAGCAAGTAAGAAAATACTTCCTTTTAAATGAGAAACTGAATATATTTACCTGTCTTCAACTGTTTTGTTGGAGGGGTAGAATACCTTGAATGAAAATCCACTTCTTGGAAATGAACCCTGTAAAGAAAAATGTATATACCACATTTGCGCAAGTAAAATACTGTATAGATTGTAAGAGAGACACTTGAATGTGATTGTACCCCCTTCTTATTTTGGTAAAGCATCAGGAAATCTTACAGGATTTATGCAAAGGCAGTCGGTGTTGGTGACCGTGAATGGGTCGTATTTATCTGCAATGACGAGCACATCCGGCAGAGGATACACCCTCAGGGTGTAGTCATAGGCCCAGTACACGGGGCTGACGTACAGTGGAAGAGGCGTCAGATGTCCTTGTGATAATATAGTCTTTACAAACTGCAAGATATGCACAAACAGTCAGTTTGAACCATTTTCTACAAGTCCAACTCATTCCTGCAGGTGCTAACGCCATTAATAAAGAAGCTTTGAACCTGGAAATGTTTTTTTGTGTATCTCACTCCCTCCGATTACTAACAATTTCTAGAGTAAAGCAGCAACTCCTCTACAACAGTCAGCTGCTGTTTTGTTTGTCGTGTTGTGGGGTTTTTTTTAAAACACAAAGTCTTTCTAAAGCATATTAGCCAATGTTTGAACATGTCAAAACTATTTCATCAATCAGACTCTCTAACGGAAAGAATCTGCTGACCTGTACCTCCAACCCAGGAAGTACCGACATTGCTGTAACGTTCATTTTGTGGCATCTTTTCTCCTCATGGCTTTCCTCGCAGTACCGGTTAACCACAAGACCCCCCACTTAAACACAGTCTTTTCCCTGAACTGAGGAAATCATTTGATTCCCAAATTATTTCGATTCCTTTGGCTGTTCTGGGAGTTGCCCTGCTCCAGACAGCAGCTGCCGCCTGAAATTCCCTCTTTCATCTAGCAAATTCCAGCCAAGATATTTTGATCCCTGAAACTCTCTCCTCAAGGCCCTTCAAAGCTTTTATTATCTCTTCCCAATCACGTAGCTGCCACTAGACTCCATTTTCCCCAAAGCGCCAAAATCCCTACAGCAACTTGGTGGAAGGGCCTGCTGTTGAAAGACAATGACGTACCAAGCGTAGCCCCAGTTATTGCACTAATACTGTACAAGGCCTAAAGTCACTATTAATTCAACCTAATGTTAGCAACAAAATTCCCCTCTCTCACTCATCTTTTTACACTGATGGCTGAATTAAAAAACTAATGACAGGCAGAAAAGGCAGAGAGAAACTGAAGTATGCAAAAGCAACCCAATACTCTTATCTGTATTGCAGAAAGTGCTGCAATACATAATTCTACATTTTCTTTGTGATTCCATCCCTGTCCAAGTACGGGGAATATGCAATTATTATGCAATACATAATTCTACATTTTCTTTGTGATTCCATCCCTGTCCAAGTACGGGGAATATGCAATTATTATGCAATACATAATTCTACATTTTCTTTGTGATTCCATCCCTGTCCAAGTACGGGGAATATGCAATTATTATGCAATACATAATTCTACATTTTCTTTGTGATTCCATCACTGTCCGAGTACGGGGAAGTGATGGCTTGCAGCGTACATATACGTGTGTGCAAACCTGCACACCAAAATCAAGGTGCATCATTGTCCGCAGTGGGTTCCCTGTGTTCACAAAGAAACTGAGCATTGTCGTGATGGAGCGAAAGAAGATCCTGAGTCAAACAAAAAAAAAACCCCTACAAAATAAATAGAAACAGACTCCATCCATCACTGCAATGAGCCAGTGCTGCCTGGATCACTCTCATTCAATTATATCAGTACATCACATCAACTCCTGCTGTGCATTCATTAACCAGAATGATAACTCGGAGCACTGTGGCGATGTAGCAAAAGCAGGATTAAGACTTCAACTAAAAAGGCAGAAAACGCAGATGACCTTTTGGAAAAGTGACATGCTGCTTTACCGCAAATGTCATGGTTAATTGATCAAATCTTTAAAAAAAGGTAATTCGTATTAAACTTTGCCTTCAGGAATGAACGTTTCTTGGTACGACATTCATCACTGGTGCACAGAGAGCGAGGGTCGAGTGCTACAAAGTTCTGCGTTCGAGGGCACCTGCAGTAGGACAATCAGAATGACTCAATGCCATCAATCAGTACTGGAAGGGGCTATTTCAATTATTTCACTGTCAAGATGGAAATCAATGTAATAATACTAAACATATAGATCCTCTTGCAGCAAGTCATGAGAATGCAGGTCGGAGCATCCTGAACGCAGACCTGCTGATAAAAAAAAAGCAGCCAAGGAGATCTCAGCAAGAAGTGCTGAACATGACTCACTCACATGGTTGGGAATGTCCATGTTGCTGCTGGGGAAGCGGACACAGTTTCTGCACATTTTGTTTACCAAATCTTCACGAAAAACAATTATTTCTTGGGTGCAATATTGAATCCTAAATGGAAAACATAAATGAAATTAAATGAATTGAGATGAAACTAAAAGATAGGGAGATGCATTATAAAGTTGATCTCCTTCTAACACAGCAAAATGGAAAAGCACACTTGAATTAATATAATACTTTCCCACCTTCCCTTCATTCCCTCCAGATTCAGAAAAAACAGGATGCTTTTGAGCAGGATTTTTATACTCACTACCAAACTTTCAGCACTACTTCCTTTGATCAATAATTTGTGTCTTAATGTACTTAAAACTTTTTTAGTTACAATTACAAAATACAATAAAATACAAAACTTTTAGTTACAATTAATGCAAGTGAGGAATTCTATTCATTTGAAAAATTTAAGACCAATTTTTCCAAAATTTATAAGTTTTGAAAATTACATCTACACAAAAATTAGTCATTCAGTAAAAAAAAAAAAAAACCACATGAAAAACAGCAGTAAGTTACACTGTTACCTGCAAGGATTTGTTGTGAAAACTGAAAATGGCACCAGCTGTCTGAATTCCGCAGTAATATTTTCAGCTAGGGGAGGTCTAAAATAAACAGCAACGGATGCATCAACAAAGACTCTGACCTTCCTTAACTATTTAACTCAATATTCCAAAATTTGAAAAAGTGTAGCAAACTGACCTTGGTAAAATGGAACCAGGACCAGGGTCTTCAGGGCCAGGGACAAACACAAATCGACTACTGTAAAAAGTTCAACACATCACTTTTATACAAAATGATCCTAGAAGTATCTAAACATTGGTTATATACTGCCATTACTCCACGGATGCATGCAAATAACCTGTTCTGGGGTGGAGGTGACAGCTCTTCCTGGCCTTTGGAACCACAGAAGTCACAGCTAAGGCATAAGATACATATCTGCTATATTCACTAACTTGGAAGAACCCTGAAGAAGTGTTCACCATGGAAGGGGGACTGCCTGCGGGAAGGGGGACAGACCAGATGGGCAGCCTGGCTAAGGACTTGGGGGTAATCATAGAATGATTTGGGTTGAGAGGGACCTTTAAAGGCCATCTTGTCCACCCCCCCTGACATAGCAGGGACATCTTCAACTAGATCAGGTGACTCAGCCCCGTCCAACCTGCCCTAAAATGTTTCCAGGGATGAGGCATCTCCCACCTCTCTGGGCAACCTGAGATTTCTTCCTTAGGTCTAGTCTAAATCTTCCTTCTTTT